TCCGTTTAAATTCATCAATGTCGATGTCAATTTCTGGCTACCGCTAATTAACGTCACTTAATGAGATCCAAAGTTTTGTACTCCAGGACGATCGTACGATTAGCTTTTGGCCGCCTACAAGTGGGCAAAATGGCTCAATGCTTTCGGAGCAATTTTCTCATTTAATAAAATTCAGATTTCGAAGAAAATAAAATGGCACTCGACTGCGTAACAACGGCGTATAAATAAAATACTCTCTCCTATGTCTACTTACTAATTAACTGACGTAGGGAGCATCGCACACTACGCGTCTGATCTGCTGATTTCTTCCTGGCCTTCAACAGCATTTATCCAAAAACCACCACTACAAAAATAAATTTCACTACAAAGCTTTCAAAATATCTATCTATCTATCGATATTATTGAATTTCACTGCACTTTTATAAAAAAAAATGTACCAAAACGGTTATCATCCTGCCATCCATCGAAAAGTTTTACTTTTAAACTTTTAAGGAGATCTATCTTTATGTAAAAATCTAGATGGCAACATCCATGCACACGTCACAATCGATTTGACATTTCATTCGTCATGACAGGATAGGGCGTTGTAATGTAATTAGTGATGTATCGATCTTGAGTTTTTCAAAGTACATCGATTATAATATTTACTCATATTCAGTTGTTAATCGTGACTTTAAACTGTCATTACACTTGTATAGAAACTATAATATTTTTTTGAAGGAAAGAAATGGCAATATTGTTGTAATACGATTGTCATATCTATATTAAAGATTTACCGTTTTCTGATCCGAAAAATGTGTATTTTCATATTCAATTAATCACTTTTTGTAAACTGTGATGACCAAAATATGATACTTGGAATTAACTATCGCTGATATAATCACCAATCTAGTAATATAACGCCATTTAATTTGACAGCCATATTTAAGGTTCCTTGATTTGCCTTAATTCTTTTTTTTCTTCTTCATTCTGGCGTGTAATTTTACTAAGTATTCCAGTCACTTTAAGTTTTTTTTTATTCACACGCTTAGTTCTGATTTGTTTTCATTTGATTGAATCGTTTAAGACAAAATCGAAAGACGTTTAGAACTCATTTGACATCACTAGTCTCAAGTTTGTTGTGGGCGGCGGTGGAAGAAAGATCGATAGATTCGCGAATCGCGAAGCGGTTTTTTGTGATGACAACATGCATTTTTACGCGTATTAATACAATTAGTATTTATTTATAACAAGTCATAATTATTTATATAAAGCAAAATAAATATATTTCTTAATGTTCCGAATCTTTTTACAATGTTAAAATTTTTGGTCAGATTATCCGTTCCCTGTCTTCGTGTGGTAAATGTGTGGTGATAATGAGTGTCAAATTTATTATTTTATTAGTGTCTAAATAGTGCGCAGCGTTGTTATTGTGAACTGTTGTATTTTATATTTTCGAAGATCAACTGTTGCAATGGCTCTTAGAGATTATGTGAGTGGATTTTTCCACAACCACAATATGATGGCCCCATTCTCCAGTTTCTACCGGGCCATGGTGCTCAAGATGAACCAACGCAACTACTGTAAGCTCTCGCTTCTGTTTAACAATAAAGATTGATGTTAGGCCATGTCACAAAATACCTTGAACCTATATCTTGGATATTTAATTTTTAATGCCATCATAAACAGTTTTTGATATATTCTTAGCTTCAAAGAATGTTTTAAAAATATTATTAACAAATCGAAGGCAGTGAGTTGAAAACATGAAATCCATTTTCAACTCGGTCAATAAGCCAATTGCTAATTGTTAATGCAAGAAACAGCACCTGCACATAGCGGACATTCTGATTGTATTGACTGAACCCTCTGCATAGGCCATGCAATGTGCTTTTATTCTTTAAGCACTAAAACCTTGTATAAATTAGCTGCCAAATTGTTATATTGAATAGGATACTAAAAACGTTCATTATTTATTTTTCATTCACAAATGCACATTAAAACATGTGAGGACAAAGAAATTTGATCATTTAATTGTATGAATCTCATAATGTCTATCATCAAATGTATTGTTAAGTCTCTAGTAATATATATTTCATTGCATAGGTTCTAAAGAATGCAAAAAAGATTATTATCAACCTCTATTAGCTTAACCATTTAAAATATTTCTGTTTTAATTTTCACTTTAAATCTATAATCTTTTATTGTTTATTGATAAAGAGAACTGTTTATTTATGTCATGTAACAAAGAAATTGAGAAGGGACTTCCTCTCTCGCGCATTTAATGTTCTTTAAGGAAGTGAGGCAAACCATATGACTATGTAATGACTTGTGCTTTGTATAAATACAATAAATAATTACAGACACTTAAAAATATCAGCTTTCGTAGATAGATGTTTTAAGGGATACAATTGTTAGTTTATTCATAATAGTAATTATTTTATTAACCACTTAAAACTATTCATGCAATCGTCATTCAGTCCTGTGCAAATGACCAATATCCTTTTTGTAGGTCACCTTTGGTTTGTTAAATAACTAACGTCTCTGTTGCACTATTATTTGTGGTTCAGAATTTTGTTTTTGGTGGATATCTTCTTAATCTGTGTTACCATTCACTAATTTTATGCTACCTATAATTTTTTTTTATTTATTTGCTTTGACTTTTTGCGAATCACTTTAGACACTCTTGTATAAAGGCATTGCAATGTATACTTTATGTTTTGGACATAAAGATCAATGTTTTCAAATGTTCATTTTTATGTATTTCTGTCTCTTTATTTTGTCTGTCAGATATTTATGGATCATTTTACCTTTTATTGCCCTCCGGCATGTGTACAACATGTGTTGCTCCTAATTTAAATAATATTAATAAATGCAGGATGTCCCAATGTATACCTACTTATAGCATTCTTTAATCCTCATTGCTTTGACCACATTGTTAGATTTATGGTATCATTGTTATGTTTCAAATTCATATATTACTGGTATATAAGTGCACAAGTGGTTGGCGTAAAATTGTTTTTGTTCCAAGGTCAGAGCGAAATGCATTCGCAAATATACGACTTGAAATTCTTGAAAAAATTAAGTTACCTATGTCGCGTAGTTTCAGGTTCATTATTATTTACTGTTATAAATATTTTTAGATATCTTGGACACTCTGAAATTTGCATGGTTTGCGGATTTATAATTCAAAAGACTTCGTATTTATGTTAAATCTTACACTTAGCACATAGCATTCGAATTGTCCTGAGAAATCTCCATCGGTATGATGCTGCTCAATAACAAACTGTATGTGAATTTTTCCATACTAAATCCATTACTAAGGAACCTTGTTAACTTCAGAGCTTGGCAGTTTCAGATTTCGAGACAGAACAAATAATTTAGTATATGTAAGCTCCCATTGAGTATAAATAATCGTGGACTTCCGCTGCCAAAACATCCGTATAAAAAATATCTATGTAAAAGAAATATTTGCGGCATGATAAAACTTGTATTTTTACGCAGTGGAAATAAACGCTACGGTTCCAGTAAGTTTCTATATGCATTAGGTTTAAAATTAATAATATTTACGTAACGTTTATTTTGATATTTTACGCCTTATTAATATAAGTCGCAATACTTTGCATTATGGCGTCACGCATTAAGACTTGTCCTTGACCTATGTAAGGCTTCATCGCATATAGCCCCCTTCAGCCCTCTACCGTCTCGCACTTTACCACTCCGCGGCCAGGGTGATGTTAAAAATCTTTTCAATTTACAAATTAGTTTAGTACCAACCTATTATTGATATACAAAACGTAAACTCCACTGAGCAAACGAAGAGTCATTGTCAATCCATTTGTAGATATGAGTCGTAGATGTCAACTGAATGAAGATAACAATAAAATTATTTTTGTAACGTAACTCTGAGATGGCATCATTCTACAATTTTTAATCGCCGTATTGTCGTAAGGTAAAATTAGCATTTCCCGTGAAATGGTCTGTTTATCGCGCGCTATTTATGATTGCGAGGTTTGTGTACTGAACGCCGTGCACGTGACTACATCTGCCTTTATACCTACGTGTTACTCTGAAACAGAATCCTCCACGACTATGAGCTCGTAACAATATGTCGGTTCCTGTGTGAAGGACGTCCAGAGTGCCTCGAGACCACCGTTCACGACCATTGATACATTTGATTGATGGTTACATTTTTCCTCAACCACTAAATTGTATTGTCACGTTATTGTATATACTGTTGTTTATAAGTTTTATTTATTACCTTCTTGACCTTCATTCAGTATCGCAATGACATCAATAAGAGTATAACTTAGCCTCGCCATTCTCACCGATTGCTTAATAATTTGCACTATCTTAGATCATTTTTTTAAAAACTATACGATTTTTTAAATTCTAAAACAATACCTTGTTCTGCGTAACTTAAGTAATTTACTTTGAAATGTTATGAATCCTCGCACTATCAGCTCTCCGAACAATCCTATGCCGAACCAAAGCAAAAAGTAAATATTTGATTAGTAGGACATAGCGTCTATGGCAGCGTCCCATAATCACACTATCACGATACTTCTATGAGAATCTAATCAGTACGTGGGATAAATAATATGTTTGAATTAATTTCAATAATTCTTTATTTAAAAACTGTGCTGCATTTGCACTTTGCCGACAGATAAAACCAAAAGTGTACCGCTTTGTGAGTATTATTTGGATTTTCTCTGACTTTCTGCCAATGAAAACTGTTGATCAAGTACCGTTAACTTTGTCATTGCGCCCGCCTGCGTCCGGCCAATACTTTCTCTTTTGAAGTCAACATACTTCATATTATTATAAACAAATTTCGTACATAGCCCACGATTTTTTTTTAAATAAATAAACGATGAAATTTGCGATCTAATATTTGGGATGATATGTACCTAATTATAATAGAGGTAAAAATGAATTGCGTGGCTTTACCGCTGATTTACCTATGCCATATATACGAATATACGTTAGGAAACAGAATGTAAATAAGTAACATGTATATACAGATGAAGACGAGGCGACGGCGTCAGGCGTGTCTGAGGGCCCGGGCGGCGCGGCGGGCGACCAGGCCAACCGCATCATCTTTGTCAACCGGCCGCAGCCGCAGAAGTTCGTCAGCAACACAATATCCACCGCCAAGTACAGGTAACTACACCTTAATACTTTCGCTGTAGTATTGAAAGTGTTAATTTAAAAATATATATATAAGACCTTATAAAATCTTACGAATGTTCTTAACAACCTTTTCCTATAGAAATTTGTGTATTAATTTTAGTCAACTTGACATAAGGTCGTAATATATTGTTTTATTGTTAGTCAACAACACATACAGTTGAATTATCAGTCGTGAAACAACAAAGAAATCTTACAATACAATTGTAAATAAAAAGCGAGATATTTTTATAGGTGGGTGATGTCAGCCATCGCCTTAGTTTGTGCACACTCGAGAGCCGGTCGAATTTAGCGCAAGCCCTGACCTGACCGCTATCTGCATTTTATTTGGATATTATTTTACATTCTTTTAGAAATAAACACCGAACAACCATACTGTTATTTCTCTTTTTCCGAAGACACATCTCTGTTACATTAGATAACTTAAACGTTTGTTTGTATGTCTGTGTGTGTGTGTGTCAGCGTGCCGTCTTTCGTGCCGCTGTTCCTTTTCGAGCAGTTCCGCCGCTACTCGAACTGCTTCTTCCTGCTGATCGCGCTGCTGCAGCAGATCCCCGACGTGTCGCCCACTGGCCGTTGGACCACGCTCACTCCCCTCGTCCTCATCCTCACCGTCAGCGCCATCAAGGAGGTCGTCGAGGACTTCGTGAGTTACTTACATCTTTATATACTCGCCTAGATATCGTAAAAAAATGTTTGCATAGGTCTAGGTCATAGGTAAAGATTACGTTCGGTGTCTCAGAAGCGGCATCGAGCGGACGATGAGACGAACCGACGCAAGGTGGAGGTGCTGCGCGGCGCCACCTGGCAGCTGGTGCGCTGGCAGCGGCTGCAGATCGGTGACATCTGCCGCGTCCTCAACAACCAGTTCTTCCCCGCGGACCTCGTGCTGCTCGCCTCCAGGTGACGATTACGACGCTACGCTAGTTATTTTTTACCAGTCAGATGAATACATCGGAACGATTTAAAATGTTAAACGTGATCGGCAGCGAACCCCAGGGCATATCGTTTATCGAAACGTCAAACCTGGACGGCGAGACGAACCTGAAGATCCGTCAGGCCACGCCTGAGACCGCACGGCTCGACAACCTGGCCGCGCTGGCCGACTTCCAGGCCACCATACAGTGCGAGCCCCCCAACAGGCACCTGTACGAGTTCAACGGCATGCTCAAGGAGACCAACACCAGGTTGGACAAAGAATCACGTATTGAATAAGTTCTACTTTCTTTGTGTTCCATAAAACAGGTGTTCAGATGTGCCCAGTTCAGTTTGGTTTATACGTGGCGTGCTGTGATAGGTCGGTGCCGCTGGCGCTGGACCAGATGCTGCTTCGCGGCGCGCTGCTGCGCAACACGGCCTGGGTGCACGGCGTAGTCGTCTACACCGGACACGAGACCAAGCTCATGATGAACTCGACCAAAGGTAGGCGACCTGCCCGCGCCCGCCGGCCCGCGTGGCACAGGCAGCAATGTGAATGTGTGTGCTGTTGCAGCGCCCCTGAAGCGGTCGTCGATCGACAAGCAGACGAACACACACATCCTGATGTTGTTCATGATCCTGCTGGCGCTGTCGCTGCTGAGCGCCGGCTGCAGCGAGCTGTGGGTGCGCGCGCGCCACGCCAACACCGACTGGTACCTCGGTCTCGACGGTCTGTATGCTCATCACCTCGCACCTCACCTCGCACACCTGCCACCTCTTGTGTCTTGTGTCTTGTCTGGTCTTGCCCAACATTTTGTAAAGGTGTATATTTATTTTGTTCCAGAGGCGCAGAATGCAAATTTTGGATTTAATTTTTTAACCTTTTTGATCTTATACAACAATCTTATACCTATATCATTGCAAGTGACGGCGGAAATCGTACGATTTTTTCAAGTTAGTATTATTTTTATATTTTGATAATAATTTGATAGTCGGTAGAGTTGAGTTGTGTGACCATCTGTGTCGACGTGTCGCAGGCCAAGTTCATTGCGATGGACGGCGAGATGTACCACGCGGAGTCCGACACCCCCGCCCTCGCCCGCACCTCCAACCTCAACGAGGAGCTGGGCATGGTCCGCTACGTCTTCAGCGACAAGACCGGCACCCTCACCTGCAACGTCATGGACTTCCACAAGTGCTCCATCGCAGAGGTACCGCCTCGCCGCCCCGCCGCGACACTCTTACACCCCACAGAATATACGCTTCTGTTATATGAACGTTTTCAGATAATTTACAACCGGCCGGGACCCAACGAGAAGCTGGAAGACACGCTGCTGTACCAGAACCTGCAGCGCAACCACCCCACTGCGCCCGTCATCCGCGAGTTCCTCACCATGCTGGCCATCTGCCACACCGTCATACCCGAGGTGGTCGACGGCAAGATCAACTACCACGCCGCCTCGCCAGGTACACTCCGCCCCTACACCGCGTCTACACCGCGTCTACACCGCGCCTACACCGGCGTTCTGTTGTACACCGCACGTGTCCTGTGCAGACGAGCGCGCGCTGGTGATGGGCGCGGCGGCGTTCGGGTACGTGTTCGAGACGCGCACGCCGGAGGGCGTGGCGGTGCGGCTGGGCGCGGCCGGCCCCGCCTCCTTCGCCGTGCTGCACGTGCTCGCGTTCACCTCCGCGCGCAAGCGCATGTCCGTGATCGTGCGCACGCCCGCCGGACAGATCCGGCTGTACTGCAAGGGCGCGGACTCCGTCATCTACCCGCGCCTGGCCGGCGGGCCGCAGCACGCGCGCTACGCCCAGGCCACGCTGGCGCACCTCGAGCACTTCGCCGCCGAGGGCCTGCGCACGCTCGTCTTCGCCGTCGCCGACATACCCGACCACGTCTACGCGGTACGCACATCTGCAACACCGTGTTCGGTGCCACCGCCAGAGTATACCATGTCACCTAATGCCGCTCCGCCGGTACATCCGCAGGACTGGTCAAACACCTACCACAAGGCGAGCATCGCGATACAGGACCGCGAGCGGAAGCTGGAGGAGGCCGCGCTGCTCATCGAGAACAACCTGCGCCTGCTGGGCGCCACCGCCATCGAGGACAAGCTGCAGGTCCTCACCGCCCCCGCCCGTGGTACCGCGTCGCCGCGCCCCGGCCCCCAACTCTACTGACCGAGTCGCGCGTTGTGTGTTGTGCAGGACGGCGTGCCGGAGACGATAGCGGCGCTGCTGAAGGCCAACATCAACGTGTGGGTGCTGACCGGCGACAAGCAGGAGACCGCCATCAACATCGCGCACTCCGCCCGCCTCATACACGCCGCCATGCCGCTCGTGCTGCTCAACGAGGAGAGCCTCGACGTCAGTACACGCCGCCCCGCCCCCCTCACCCCCCACACACACCACCACACCCACGTGACACCACATCCGCCGCCGTGTTACAGGGCACGAGGGAGACGCTGTCCCGCCACTGCGCAGACTTCGGCGACAACCTGCGCAAGGAGAACGACGTCGCGCTCATCATCGACGGCAAGACCCTCAAGTACGCGATGGGCTGCGACCTCAAGAAGGACTTCCTCGACCTCTGCCTCTCCTGCAAGGTCGTCGTCTGCTGCAGGGTCTCCCCCATACAGAAGGCTGAGGTACCGGCGTTTGTTAAGCGAACAGTGTTATATCGGATGTAACGATGTGTGAATGCGGACGTGTGATGGCAGGTGGTGGAGCTGGTGTCGCGGGCGACGGGCGCGGTGACGCTGGCCATCGGCGACGGCGCCAACGACGTGGCCATGATCCAGCGCGCCTCCGTCGGCGTCGGCATCTCCGGCGTGGAGGGCCTGCAGGCCGTCTGCGCCTCCGACTACAGCATCGCGCAGGTCTGCAACGCGCACCCGCACCTCCGCAACTCCGCACCTTCACCCACACCGCACTCACCGCGCTCGTCTCCTTCTAGTTCCGCTTCCTGCTGCGGCTGCTGCTGGTGCACGGCGCCTGGAACTACTCGCGCATCAGCAAGCTCATCCTCTACTCCTTCTACAAGAACATCTGCCTCTACGTCATCGAGCTCTGGTTCGCGATATACTCCGCCTGGTGAGCGCTCCCCGCTGCCCTTTTCCTCGGCATCCTTTGGTGCGGTGTGAAAGTGCTCACGGCACTGATTGCGTCTCCAGGTCCGGACAGATCCTGTTCGAGCGCTGGACCATCGGCTTCTACAACGTGATATTCACGGCGCTGCCGCCCTTCGCCATCGGACTCTTCGACAAGCTGTGCTCGCCCGAGATCATGCTGAGGGTGAGTGCGCCGCCTTCACCTGCGCGCGGTATGTTCGCTGAGCGGTGGTGTAACGAGGCCGGTATCCCGTCGATTGCAGCACCCGGTGCTGTACATCCCGTCGCAGCAGGGGCTGCTGTTCAACGTGCGCGTCTTCTGGATCTGGGCGGTGAATGCGCTGCTGCACTCGGTGCTGCTGTTCTGGCTGCCGATGCTGCTCGCCAGCCACCACGTGCTGTGGCCCAGCGGCAAGGACGGCGGCTACCTGGTCGTCGGCAACTTCGTCTACACCGTGAGTGGACTCCCCCTCTCCTCATCGACCAATGGGAGTCCTCCCATTGGCGGAGAGTGACGAGTGCGTGTTGTGTGCGCAGTACGTGGTGCTGACGGTGTGCCTGAAGGCGGGGCTGGCGACGCACTCCTGGACCTGGGTGACGCACGTCTCCATCTGGGGCTCCGTCGCCCTCTGGTTCCTCTTCATACTCATATACAGGTAACTTCGACCCTCGCTTGCCATTTCTAATTATAGTTAGGTAATTTGTGATTGAATCCATGCGGCACGTGTGTATTGCAGCAACGTGTACCCGGTGGTGGGCGTGGGCGCGGTGATGCGCGGCATGGACCGCATGGTGTTCAGCTCGCTGGTCTTCTGGTTCGGCCTGCTGCTCATCCCGGTCGCCGCGCTGGTGCCCGACCTCGTCGTCACTGTGTCAGTGCTAATTCCTACTCCACACAAAAGACTAGGATAACATTTCATGATGTGTAATTACACGAGAGACTCGGGGGATATAAAGAAGATGTTAATGAAGGGATGTACATTTTCAGCATCCACAACTCTGCGTTCAAGTCGATGACGGAGGCGGTGCGCGAGAGCGAGATCAAGAAACGCGATCCCGCCGCGCTCCTCGCACACCCGCGACACTCGTGAGTACTCGTGTCTCTCTCTCGCTCACTCACTCTCTCACTCACTCACTCGCTCACTGACATTTCTATATCATGTAGTTGTAAGACAAACTTGACAGAGATTGCGATCTATTTTATATATTCATTATTTTCCTATAGATTTAGATTTGATAGTGTGTGCTGTCGCAGTCGATGTACGTGTTAGTTTCCACTGCAGAAACATTTATATATAACATGTTGTCGTAGTTCTCATTGTATATGATAAAACACGCGGAACGATATGTTATTGTATCTGCTTCGGCGGTGGAAACGGATGAGTGTTGTGAGGGTCGATGTTGCTAATGTCTTGATGCGTGTGAATGTCGGAATGCTCTACTTACTACTTAATTACATAATATAATATTTATATGTATCGTATATATCTTCTCTATCTATCGCACATTACAATTACAATGATACAAAACAAATGATTTTAGTCGTATAAAAATCTCTAAAATCTCACGATGTTTTAAATCATCACGAGTAACATATAAATTTCGTTTTATTATCTATATTTATTTATTTATAATATGTATAAGTTGATAGTATAATATATGAAAATGTATATATTCTCACAGAGTACATTTACTTTGTTTAGTTCATATCAGTGGATGGAATTATTTTTTTCAATGTATTTATTGCACCTTTATATTTTAGTTGCTCCACACCGCCGCTGTACACTCTCGTACAATATTTATTTGCTCTCATTAGTGCTGTGTAAGTGCGGGGAGGGGAGGGGGGGGGGG